ATATTGTTTGTAGGCTACCGCTAATGGAGAAGCGGTAAATAATTAAAAGATGAAGTAATGCATACAGATTTAGTATTTGTTGTTATAGCGGCAACAGAAGTAGGTACATCATTTATCATCGTCATCAGCCGAAAGACGTCCACCGTTGAACTAAGGCCTCCCCGTTGTATACAGTTCATTATTATTTAATTAATGAAATTGAAAATTGAAAATGAAACAAACAAACAATGCATAGATTTCATATTTGTAAATATTGACAGTTGTACTCGAGATTCTTCTAATATATATCTGAAAATATTATATCGCTATCATTCATTTCTTAAATCGCAATAAGTAATAAATAAATAAATAATGAATCCCTTTGTTGGCAGAATTGAATGAAACTTTTATTCGATGAACGACCGATAGGTAATTTGATAACTAAGTGATTAATTCATTTTTCTCGTTAAATGAATATATATTCTTTCTTTAACTAAATAATTAGCATAGGACATCAAACATCGCTTCCGCCACCGTTCTTAAATTGTTTTACGTATCTGTTTGCTTAAAAGAGTTAGTTTATATTTTATGCGAAACGCTTTTGATCCTCAGATATATTATTGTCACCATCAATAATGATGATCATTTCCTAACAATGTCGCATTATTTGACAGTAGTTCCCGTAGACAACTTGGTATTGCACCTGATTCGCTTAAGCACCAAATTTTGTAATTAGTGAACCAAACACTTGATAAATCTGCAAAACGAAATCTTATTGACCACTAGGTCGAAACTCCAATTTTTGAGTTGGTGAACTAAATCCTTACTTATCCTTATCATAAACGAGAAAGTTTGTATGTATGGATGGATATTTTTTACTCTTTGACGCAAATACTACTGAATGGATTCTAATAAAACTGTACAATAACATAGCTTATACATCAGAATAACACATAGGCTATAATTTATATACATATTTTATGTATATCTATCTTTCTGTCTGAATGTTACGCCTTCAACCTATTCTACGCAGACGCAGTCGCGGGTAGCAGCTAGTACTTGATAAATCTGAAAAACCAAATCTCAATGGTGTAACGTCACTGGTTCAAAACTGCGCCCCTGTTGAGCCGACACCATCTCTGGATTCGAATGCCTCACAAATCCCTTATTTATGAACCAATTCAGTTTCATTGCGAGCAATGTAAGCAATACGTCGCCCGATGGCCCTTAGATGACATGTCGTAGTTAAACGCACGCATGAGCACATGCGCGGCCCTACCCACAGCGAAGGGCCCAAACCCGTGGGTTCTGGCTAGCCCACCGGTTCTGCGTCAGATGAAGCTTTAATAGTCTTGGGACTGAAAGCAAAAACATCAGTTAATACAAGATACAAGAATACGTCGCGAAGACAAAAAGACAGGGTCCCCAACAAGCGATCGATCAAAGCTCGCCGTAAAGCTAACCGGGCGGATAAACATCGTGGGCCGAACGGAAACGGCGGTACAAATCGACCAGCAGCAGAGGTTTCGTGTACTAAATCGAAACCTTCGCTTTCATGTGGTAAGGTGACAAGCGAGCAGGCGATTCGCCTGATGTTAAGTGAACCGCCGCCCGTGGACATTTGCAACACCCGTAGAGTTGCAGTGGCGTTACCACCTTTTAATAAAGTAGCCCCCCGCTGCCTCACTCACCAGACGAAACGCAGGAATGTAACACTTCCGCTTCACGCCGGTCTTCTGCGAGGTCGTGGTACTTCCCCGGACGGACCTGCCCATTCGTGCAACAGCGACCTATTGTGGCGCTACCACAGTTAGGGAAGGTTGCGAAAAAGTATCGCCTAAGACGGCGTTAGCAAGTGAGGAGCCTATTAAACGACGAGTGGGCGCGAATCAGACGCGAGCTCATAATCGTAAATAATTAAGTAATTAACAGCCGTCGCCGAATGGAGCCGAGATAAGAGATGCGAAAAAACCGGCCAAGTGCGAGTGAGAGTCGCGCACGAAGGGTTCCGTACCGTTGTCTATAAAAACGGCAATAAATCATGTGTGTCGTACGGGAGCACCGGTTAAATATTTTTTTATTCTGTTTTTTAGTATTTGTTGTTATAGCGGCAACAGAAATACATCATCTGTGAAAATTTTAACTGTCTAACCATCACGGTTCATGAGACAGCCTGGTCACAGACGGGTAGACAGACAGACAGACGGATTGACAGACGGCGGAGTCTTAGTAATAGGGCGCCGTTTTACCCTTTTGGTGCGGAACCCCAAAAACCGTAGGAGCGGTTCCGGGGCAGCGCCATGTGGGTAGCGTGAATAATTTTAAATTGCCATCCTTTTTCCTCTCGCGGCGTCGACCCACGGACGGGTTAGTCAGTGTTTCGACATTCCCCACCCACGTGCGCGCCGTTATTAACATAAAACGCCACAATTCATTGTGCAATAAACGCGAAATGAGATCTTATCTAGGTGCGGGGCCGCCGCGCGGATTTAAGTGGCATTTTTCCGAAACGCCGGTGTTCGCGGCGCGGTACTCTGACAGTCGTTAGGGTAAACAATTTGTGCTCCCTTATCCCTCCTTACTCATCAATAGTTTTATTGTGAATAAGTAAAAAAAGTGAAGTGAAGTGAAGTGGAGTGGATGACTCCGCGGCGCAGTTGCCGAGGTATTGGCTTCGGCGTCGGGGGTCGTGGGTTCGATTCCCACACGGGACAACTATTTGTGTGACCCACAGATAGTAGTTTCGCGTCTGGGTGTTTGTCCACGTGGAATTTGTTTTTGTAAAACGTCCTTACAACACAGGATGGTGTTAGTGTAAAGTAAGGGCAATGTTAAAAAAAAAGCAACAGCCTATATATTTTTTATGTTAGAGATGGTTTGCGAGCTGGGATAACCACCGCTCATAGAAATTTGCAACACCCGTAAGGTTGCACATACGTTGCCACCTTTTCTAGGCCCCGGTTGCCTCACTCACCACAGGAAGCGCAGAAGTATAACTCTTCATTACCACTTCTTCAACTTCTGTGGGGTACTGGTACTTCCACAGACGGACCTGTCCATTCATACAAGAGTATTGCGTGGGCCTACCACGGCAATATCCATTTACCTCTATCTACCTAACTAGGCTTAATATGTGAGTTCTTCTACGCAGTGGCTGATATTATAATTCCGTATTTATATTCATTGGTTAAAACTGTTTTTATCACACTGGTTGGTTAGTGGTAATAGGTGAGATCTAGCCTCTATTGTTCTGAAGTAGGTTTTACTCAAGTATATGTTTTTGATGGAAAAGTAGGCAAACGTTCAGAGATGCCACTGTAACAGAATTGAAATTGAGATTTGCTTATATATACAAATTATTAACTTCTGTAAACAGCTTATATATGTAAAAGTAAAATAGGGATGTCCATTGTCCATGAGTCGCATTATCGCTCTGGTTGGCGATATATTGTTCATGGTCACGATCCTCAGCATTGAAGGAACGAGCAAGAAGAAAATATTCTATAGAGAAAAAAATATTCTATATTATTTACGATATCTATCTATCTTTCTAACAATTTTTCTGTCGTACATATCTATCTATCTAATATTATTTTTCCTGTCGTCCATATCTATCTAACTAATCATTCGCCCTAAAATTTTTATAGACTGCTCGTAACAGCTCACAAAGTTTTTGTAACATCATAAATATCAATTCAGTGTACACCCGATACTACTGTTTCTACAATCTCCTTTTACTAGGTTGCCTGGAAGAAATCGCTGTTTAGCGATAAGGCCACCTATTGTACAGTTTTGTATTATTTTTTGTACTTTTGTATTTTTTTATGTACAATAAAGTATATTTCATTTTATTTCATTTCATCCATTCATTTCATTTCATTATAGAGAACGCATACGCAACATTATTTAGAACAACTCAAACTATCCGTCTATACTGTATAGAACCCAACAAATACTTCGAACACAGATACCGATCAACTAAATCCCTATTATCCCAATTGTCCTGCGAAAAATCGCTCGGATTCCTGTGTACGGCGAATTTATCCTATGCGGCGTGTGGCGCTCCGGTGCTGGAAATAGCGACGGGACAATCGAAACCTTGGATGAATCCGGATACCTCTAGAACAATCTGTAACAGAGTTTAATCCGACACTGAAAGGTCGCTACGCGATTGGAATTGTTCGAATTTTACAGTTTCTGCTAGCCGTTGCTAACAAATCTATTTGGGCAATGATTGTTCGTGAAACGTGATGATATGGTATGATGGTGGTGATGATATGGTGGATGGTAATAAAATACCTAAGACGAACATAGCAGGTTGTTTTTAACGTGATAAGGTGGCAAGCTTGCTGGCGATTCACCTGATGTTAAGTGATAACCGCTCATGGACATTTGCAAACCCGCAGGGTGGCAGATGCGTTGTCATCTTTTAATTAAATGGACCCCAACTACCTCACTTACTAGTCGAATCGCAGAAGTATAGACTACCACTTCACCACGATCTTCTGTGAGGTCGTGGTACTTACCCAGACGTATCTGCCCCCTGCGCCAGGTCGTGTGGGCTCGTTCAGCACAACTAGTGTTGTGTTACGAATAGAGTGTTTTCCTAGTCTTTGGGTAGTGCAACGGTACGTGAATGTTGGTCTCTAAATATTTATCTATTACTACTGTTTTATGAAAGTAGATGTCTTGAATCAATAAACGTGCAAAGCACGCACCAGGAGCGAGTTAAAAGTGGTAACAAACAATTAGTGTACGACCGACGATACTTCATTGTTAATAAGCGCAACTTCTTCGCGCGTCCGATCTGATAGCGCGAGGATCTGGTGCGACACCAAGGCTCAGCCATTACGACAAAGTCCGGCGCCCGCGGTACAATAACTCACGACAACAAAGCACCAACAATTTCGCCGGCCGACAAAGCGCGATCGCAAATCTCATTTGCAGACAACGGCCAGATAAACATCTCGCTCTTTCGACAATGGGCGCGCTCATAAACAGCGCCTAATTAGTAATATTCAAAGTGCATTGTGGGGGCTATCTGGGGACGCACAATACGTTGGGAGCGGTTTATCTAGGGCGATACGCGGCGCGCCGGGAGCGACAATTATCAGCCAATGACGTCTGCCTCGTGCCCCCTCGCGCTGCAAGCGGCTGATGCGGGCGCGGCTCTCTAGCAAAGCTCGGTTTACATTGCTACTTAAGTATACGTCGCTCGAACGGAGCTTTCGCGGCTGGGCGTCGTTGGAATGGAATGGGGGCGGAGGGCCGCGCTCTCCTCCGTGGCAGGCGGTTCGCGTGCTCGGAATACGTAATGGCCAGTAGTGCCGTCCCGTGTAGTCGCCCCTTATTGTTAAAGCCTGTGTCCGGCGGAACGTAAATTGAAAGCGCCGCGAAATGGCGAGCCGTTGTTGCTTTCCGAACGCTTGATATAACGCGTGCTTGTATGACGTGCCGCGATTTTTGATTGGTTCACTGTAGAAGAACTGTCTGTACAATTTCACTCAATTGCGACGTTTGTCAATACATGATCTCCCGGGGTGGCTCAGTGTCCACGCACATTATTTTAATTCAGCATACTGGAGCAACTCGAGTCCGAATATCGGTGTGCAAATAAGGTTGTGAATTGCATTTTTAAACTTCGACTTACTGTGCTCGTCGGTGCGGGCAATCTGAATATCAGGTAAGAAAATATTTCAAGAATTTGAGCAGTATGCCCACCCTACAGTGCGGTGCACCTAATAATGTATAGTGTACACGGTGTTACCTTGTGCACAATAGTGCACGGACCCAACTCGAGCTGCCTAATTGGCAGCTCTCGGGGCGCGCGAACGCTTCGAGCCCGCGGCAAAAAGCGTTCGTCCCACTCCGTTCGTACGAACATCGGGCGCACGCGAAACGCTCGCCGACCGCCGACCGCGCGTACTGCACGCGCAAAAAACGTAAACATACAGAATGTTTAATCGGATACAGCTCAGCGAGGTCGCCGGCATCTTTTATTGTTGCTAATAGCGCCCCCGCTGCGCCGCGGCGTCTATCGATGGGGACGCGCCGTGGGGGGCCGCGGTTGCATTCCGCCCAGTTCCTGGTGCCCGGCGGCCGCTATGATGATGCGAGAATATGGGCTAACTTGTAATGAGGCGCTCCCCGCTTGAAATGTCATCGTATAGGCGATAATTCAAGCGGGAATGTCGTATATCGCACGCCAGACTGGCTCGCGATAGTAACTAGTAGCGTGCGTTTGCGGAATACGTCCTTATTATAGGAGAATCGATTTGAACCGGAGACAGCATCATTACGAAGGCATTCCATGCGTATTTAATAACATTAGTATCAATGATAATAATCTGTTGTAAATCAGACAGGGAGGTGGCAACTGCGTAATTAAACCATAAGACTAGTGTGTTTTTATTTTGTCTTCCTCATGTTTGTGCTTGCGTTTAAACTAAAACTGAAATTTTAATATATAACCGTACATTACCTTATAAACGTTACGTTACCTTACATAACTTGTAAATGTTGACCATACGCACAGGTTTGAGGCCACTGAATAATACCCTTGTGGTATGATAAATATGCTAACCGTACATAGATTAAGCTCTATCCGCGCCATGTTTACAGTTCCTTGTTTCAGAACGTCTGGTCGTTTATGATTCAATTTCGCGTACACCTTGCAACCACGGGGTGGCTCCCGATACATATTCATGAGGGAAAAGGTTGGGCGGCACTTATCTTCACGAAGCCGAGTGCGTCAAATTGTCAAAGTTTGGCCAAGATTAAAGAGTACTTCTCTTATTAGGTTTCGGAGTGAACAATTAAATCCTCTAAAGATTGTATAACGGAAAAATTTTGAATTTCTCTGGATTAGGATAACTTTATTTATTATCAATGAAAGAAAATTATGACATTGCATGATATGAGTTTTCGTTTCATTATATTTCCGTTGATCGTTATGAAATCAATGCTATACATTTGTGTCCAGTTTTATGACGAAAAATTTTCCTTCTGACACATTTGGGCTGTTGTAGCTCAGTGTCCAACGTTCGCTTTTAAGTCCTTATAGGTACTCGAGCAACCTAAGATCAAATCACGGTGCCAGCACGAATAAAATTTTTGGTGACATGAATAATGTTCAGCGGTGAAAGAAAACATCGTAGAAACATCGTAAAGATATTACAGAAGCGTTACACTTAATTATTGATTGTCAAAACGCTGTCACCGGTTGAGAAGAACCGGCGAAAGAAACTCAGAGGGTTTTTTTTTTACTATTATTTGACTAGAAACATGTTTAAAGTGTTTACATTCATCACATCATTTAAAGTATGAGAAGTTTCAACAGAATTAAAATATACAAGCAATGTCGTTTACAAAAATAATGCAACAAACAATTCTAATTTCCATGTACTAATAAAACTAGAACTCATGATTTTTCTAGTTATAGCATGCATAATGTACGTCATTTTCAATATATTTAGTAACCGTTAACGGGTGGGGTTAACGGTTAACGCAAAACCATCAACGTGTGGTGTTTGCATTTCAATGTCCCTACCCTCCGACTCCGGATTACATTCCGACAAATTATTCGCAGGTTGAAACGTTAAGCCTTAATCGTCGTTACATTAACCGTTTACATTAACGCGTTTTACAAACGACTGGCAGTCGACGAGGGAAAACGACACTCAATATTCATACGAAAAATTAAAGCTTAGGAAGTGAAACGACTATTTACATTATATATTTCTACCGTTTACATACAGGTATCGATATTTACTTTGTTATCGTTATAATTTTTTTTTTATGTGTAATGTCGGCAAGCGAGTTAACCTGATGTAAAGCGATTACCACCGTCCATGGACATCCTTACTAACATTATAATGGGGAAAGTTTGTATGTATGGATGCAGGTTTGTTACTCTTTCACGCAAATACTACTGAATGGATTTTAATGAAACTTTACCATTATATAGCTACATCAGAATAACACAGGCTATAATTTATATACATGTTATATGTATATCTGTCTTTCTGTCTGAATGATACGCCTTCAGCCTATTGCACGCAGACATAGTCGCGGGCAGCAGCTAGTCTACAATATTTGGTTACAGATGCTTTGTCAACCGTTGAAATGTCTGCTATCAGCGGGACACTCAAGAGCTTCACGTCACGGAGATGAAGATGCTAAGATGAATGTGCGGCGTCACGCGGGCTGACCGCATCCGTAACACGTTCATTCGATGCAGTCTCGAGGTTCGTGGCGTATAAAGCTCCAAGAGCGGCGCCTGGGATGGTATGGCCACGTCGCACGCCGGTCGGAAAACTATGTCGGAAGGATATGCCTTCATATACCCGTCCCAGAAGCTAGACCGCCTGGACGCCCAAGGAAGCGATGGCTGGATGTCGTGACAGAGGACATGAGAGCCAATGGAATGACCCCTGATGATGCTGAAGATCGGGCAAAGTGGAAGGGTATGAGTAGAAAGGCAGACCCTGGCAATAGCCGGGTTTAATGCCAGGCAGAAGAAGAAGATGCTTAGGAAACCGTTGAAATGCGGGCCCAGGTTACTTCACTCACGAGACGAAACTCGAAAGTGTTCACTTCCACTTCACGCTGGTCTTCTGTGACGCCGTGGTGCTTCTCCGGACGAGCCTGCCCAATCGCATATCAGTAGAAACTGTGTGTCTCTTATCTTCTCTATTTGTCAACTACAGCTGCACATTTGACTTTATATCTCTTGGGTAGTTACAGAACCGTATCACTAAACTGGGATTTGTATAATGGAAAAATATATATTCAAATCTCAATAGGACTCTTTTGCGTATAACGGATTGCTGATTATTTAGGTTCTTAATTTAAAATCATCGAACGGCCTTTTAGTCTATGAGTTTAGACGATCCAAATCCTACTGTGGTATAAAATGGTCTCAAATAACGGCCGGTCTCAATGTTCTATAATAATAATAATAAATCATTTATTTAACCAGCAATAACATAGGATATACAAAATACTTAGAAACTTATAACAAGATTGCTGTTGAGACGTTTCGAAAACTGTACATTATCTGCGGTGCTCATACTAGGCGACGTCTGTATCGTGAGCACCAAAAACCTATTTGACATAATACAGAAGTTTTGCCTCGGTTAGAGATATTGTTTTAAAGGTATATAAAGTATAGAGAAGTGTGATATAGATAAATATGTACTTAAATAAGATAAATGTTTATAGAAAAACAATTGATTAAATGATCTTGCAATAAGTTTTTCTGTGTCATCGTACGAGAGAGTAAGAAACCAGTTCAGGAGAATCTTTTTGGCCTGTCTCACAGTACACTCTTCTATATCAGAAACCTTTTCAACTTTGTTACAGACAGAGTTTGATGAGAAAAGGCTAAAACGTCTTGCGAAAGAAGTTTTAACAGGTGCAACAGGCCAGACGGAACACACGGCTCTTCAACATTTTAGTGTAGATTTCTGAGTTGTGACATTCTTATGAATTATTAAACATGATCTAAGAACATACAATTGTCGAACACTTAAAACACCACTCTCCCGGTAGATATCAACCGTTGGGTACCTATAAGGTTTCTTAAGCATAACCCGTAGAACATTTCTTTGTATATAATTAACTCTCTCTAAATGTTCTATCTACAGATAACTATGAAGTGGCGCAGTCGCCAAGGTGGCTTGGGCGTCGGAGGTCGTGGGTTCGATTCCCGCACGCGACAACTATTTGTGTGACCCACAGACAGCTGTTTCGCATCTGGGTGTTTGCCTACGTGGAATTTATGTTTAAACAACACAGGATAATGTTATCTATAGAGTAACGTTATCCTGTATGTAAGAGAAATATTTAAAAAAAAAAAACAAATATAGATTTGGTTACTGGAGATAGAATTTTGACGTAAGTTAATACTAAATAGGAGCTAATGTCAAATAAATATTGCTAGTAAGCAGTATTTTTCAAATTTATCGATTCACAATAACATAGTGTTTACATTATTATGTTTGTTTAAATTGTCTTATAAGGGCAAAAGGCAATTATTTATCCTTCCCATTTCTTGCACCCATTTATGCCATCAACAGGTGGTCCAACGGTCTATATATCACCATGTTAACACGTCAAAAAAGAGTGTTTCCTGTCAATTAAATAAAAAATATTACCCCGGTGATCTATTAAAGAATACTGCAATATTGACAAGTTTACGCTTGCAATAATTGTTGTATGAAATATATTTCTTATGAAAGCTAATTTAGCTAACGGTGGTAGGGCCACGCAGCAGCCTCGGCTGTTGCACGAATGGACAGGCTCGTCCGGGTAAGTACCACGACCTCACAGAAGACGGGCGTAAAGTGGAAGTATAATACTTTCGCGTTTCGTCTGTTGAGTGAGGTGGCCGGAGCCCAATTTTCAAAAGGTTGTCCCTGCTGCAACCCTTGGGGGTAGCAGATGTCCATGAGCGGCGGTATTCACTTAACATCGGGTGAACCGTCTGCTCGCTTGGCAACTTTCACATAAAAAAAAGCAAATTTAAAGAAAAGTTAATCTCTCAGCTCTAATTTTTGCGATAATAATAATTTCAAAATTTTTTCAGTATTTCAGTATTTTTTTCGCCTTCCCGCTATTCAAATTCAAAGTGAAAACAATTGATTTTATAGTATTTAAAACATTTATTCGTAAAGCCATTAAGGAGACGAACTCTCGTTCAATTATCACATTACGTTGGGCAATTAATCATTGCTTTGTGCTTTATGCCTGCTTTTTTTTTTGTTATGTTTACATTTATTTTAAGTTTTTGTAATATTATTTTACAAGTTGTGTAGTTACATTATTATTTTTAAGTGTTGTAGGTATCTATTGTGCTTAGACCGTGACTAAACGTTTTCTCTTCTTCTTCTTAACTTATATTGTGTATTGAAATTATAATTGTAATCAAAAATTGTCTTTTCTATTTTTTACGGTTCGCACGGGTGCAATGTATTATACATATAAACCTTCCTCCTGAATCAGTCTATCTAGTAGAAAAACCGCATCAAAGTCCATTGCGTAGTTTTAAAGATCTAAGCATACATAGGGACAGACAGACAGCGGGACGACTTTGTTTTGTACTATGTAGTGATTTTAGTTCTCGTTGTTTCGAACCCGCGCTAAAAAATATAAGCAATCGCAATGAGTAATCGCGTAAATGCAAGAAATCAGAGAATGTAAAAGCCCACGAATGAAAGACGCAACTCGGCGGAGAGACAATGTCGCATAAAGACAATGCCACTACGCGTCCGTCAAGGATCGACGGGTTCGATTATCGGTAATTTCGCGACTGACTAAAAAGCGCCCCCGAATAGCCGCGCCGCACCACCGAATACTTCTGTAATGAAATGACAATTACCCGCGGGCAGCGCGGATTCCTGGGAAGCTCGGCCGACGGGGAAGCGGATCCCTGGATCCCTACCACGGTCACTCGACGCGACGCACGAAAGTATCATCGACGTCGTTCAAGATACACCCCGGGATATATTCAATTTGTAGAATCATAAGGGAAAAGTTTTTCCCGACCGTGAGGATTTGAGCCTGCGTACTCTGAGATGATCTAACCGCTTAGCTAAACGGCGAAAATCTCAACGTATTTGATGTACTTTGGTTTTCATAACATTTTTATGGAAAGGTTGGGCGTCAACCAATGCGTGTGACGCCCAACCTTTCTAGTCTTTACAGCAAACGACCACTTTTTCACATATCATTTTACAATGATATAGGTACTGGTATGAAAAAGTGATCGTGATGAAAACTATGATTAGAGATGACATTGCTATTAAAAATTTTAACGGATATAATGTTTTATAGTGATCTTTAAACAGGTCCCCAGCGCCTCTTGCACCGTGGACATGAATCTACAGAACTAGACAGAGATCTATTGATGATTGTAAAAGCGAATAATCTCCTAATTTACTATAATGTAAAACCAAAGAGAAATTCTTCGATACGCAATAGAGGATAGGCGATCGCCGATTAGTTGAACTATTCTAATTAAAACGGAAAATCGCGCGGTCGACCGTCCGTGGCGAAACGGCATAGTTTTATTTCTCGAGAGGTTTTTACGCGGGAACGTCGACGCGACCATTGGTAGGAGTCAGCGTTTATCGCATCGAAGACGCTCGATTGTTTTATAAATAAAGCGAGCGCAAAAAATACTATCGATCAATCGTGCGAAAGCGATGGGGTACGATAAATGCGCCGGTGGAGCGACTTGCGACCGTCGGGCGCACGTCTTAATGCGTAAATTCCACCGTCAACGAGCGCCGAGCACCGCTTCGGAGTGATTCATGACGCCGCGTAAACCGTTATATACCCTGTTCCGTCAGCTTTAAGGTCTAATTTCGAAGCGGCCGCGCGACCATCATATTTGCGACGTACAAACGTGAAAGATTTCATACGAGAGCTGTCCAAACATTTTATACTTTCAAATCCCCGTTGCCTATCTGTGGTGATGATCTGAGAGCGTTATCGCGGCATCGGCTCTCCGGAGGTATCCCTAGATCTATATTACATGCGTGTCTCGAATGTTCTACCTATCGAACACAAGTACGCGGGATTTTCGAAGCGATGTTACACTCTAAGCCATTAACATAAGGTATGTTTTGGTGCGAAGTGGGTTTTGTCGCGAATTATGCCCATGTAGCGTATGTTCAGCTATAAGTGTATAACATATCTGAAATTTTGATGTGACGTCACATAATTCCATTGTTTTCCTGGTCCCGCTCTGGACGGATTTATTGGGATATGCTGACGGATCATTAAACTTATCTCGACATGATCTCTTCATTGGTTAAAGAACAGTGAAGCCTCCTGGAGTGACAATGAAGGAATGACAAAGAATAAACGATTGCTTTTTTTCTAAACCTTAAAGCAACTTGAAAGCTATGGTGGTATAAGGACTACATAACTAAAACAGTATGTCACAGGAGCAGCGTAATTATAGTTCAATTAAAAATAAACTTACGTTTTTTTAATTGAATCTATAATCGATCGAATAATAGAAAGAATTGTTAATATAGATGGATATGTATATGAGCGGCGGTAATCTCTTTACATCAGGTGAACCGCCTGCTTGTTTGAAAACTTTTCACAAAAAAAAAACGTTATTCAGTCTAATTCGCCACGTCATTTATAAATTTTTTAAACAAAATGTTTTTTATGTAGACGTTAACTTTATTCTACTTCACTATTTTTCGTCAATAGCATCTAACATAAGCTTTAAAATGGTGATTCAATCATTAAATTATAGGAAAAATTATGCAAGTTATGGCGTGCCGACAAAAGCACATTTGAAAGATAATGATTAAACACCTCACAGTATTTCAAAACATCAGCGAGGATTTCAAAAACAATCGTTAATCTCCATTTTTACAACACAACACAAAGCAAGCGTCGTATCGGAATCCAGCATCAGCATTTTCCATTTCTAGTGAGCGTGTCTCAACACCGACACAATTAGGAATTGTATTTCGAATAAATTATTACGTAAGATCGGACAAAAAGTGGACATAACATAAAAAATAGGGGGGATCGAGCGAAATCACTTGGAATTCGTCACGCCACGATTTTTGCCTCGCCCACATATGAAAGATTATGTTCGCCCAAGGCACAAAAGATCGCGGATCTACGAATCGTACAATCGCATGAAACGGTTGCTGAAATATCAATAACTTTCTATCTACCAATGAAATTAAATAATCAATAAAGCAATTATATTTAACCAAACTAGACGATATCCGCAGAAATAACCCCGTTTAATGGGAATAATTAAATTTCTTTTCCTTACCACAATATGATAATTAAATTTATTTATTTTACATATTCTGATAACTAAGCGAAACGTAATAATGCCAAAGAAGCATATAGAAAAAATATCTTTTTCTAGTTCTGTCATCAGAACTCTCGACCAAGTATTTTATAATTCCGTGGGGCCATGGGAATTAATTTAGACTCAATTTTAATTTGTAAATGTAGTCCTTCTAATGTAAAAAATAAAACTAAAGACGGACACAATCTTTAATCCCTGCAATCTGTGTGATAACTTACTACAGCTAAAATAGTAAATGGAAGATCCAGTTTACATATATCGTTTCTAACAAAAGAATACGTAAAGAAAATCGTTTTCTCAATTTGCAGGCATATCTTGTGTATAGAAAGAGGTCACAGAAATATAGTCAAAAGTAACATTAGTTTAATAAAGCTTTTCAACGAATAGTAACCTATTACCTACCTTACCTGAAGATTAACTAGCGGTATTAATAGACAAAAACATGTCCTCTGCATTTGAATCCTCTACGGTAAGCCTGGAGTAGGTAAGGCTCGCGAGTGGACATCAGGCACCATCAGGCACTAATGAAAAGATTTTGACTTAAAAATGATTTGTAACTGCTACGGCACATTTACCGTTTTTCATTTTCATTTAATTCGTAACAATTTTATTGTGCCATAACACAATTACGAGATATATTTTTTCCGTAAAATAATCTCTGGTAAACTTTTATTAAATCGCTTAATTCTTTGACTTGAGGCATACTAATGCCCTGTCAATTAATGAATCGCCTACGCTGAGGATTTAATTTAAGGCTCTCGCTCATTTTGTTTTACAAGTCCGATGATCTACGCACAACAAGTATTAGCACTTATTCCCGCCTAGCTTCGCACGCGGCTTCGCCCGCGCGTTCATTTTCCAACAAAATGCGGGGCGTTTTAAGTAATAACCTAGTATCACACGTGTCATTATCCACATTAAAAATCCATTTAACGGTTGCGCCGTATGGAGACAAGACGCATTCCTCAAGACAAAAGTAAAGTAAAGTAACAGCCTACATATTGTATCCCACTGCTTGGCAGACCTACTCTGTACAGAGGTTATTAGGACATAGTCCACCACACGACACCACTGCGGATTGGCAGATTTCACATATCTTTGAAACTTTTTATTATTGTGTTAAATCAGCATATAAAATTTATCAATTTTATTAGTGCCGGCACCAAACTGTAATAGTGATGAATCCACTCTGTTATCTTTACGATAACCATGGAAATCGTCAATAACATTTGATTTAATACCACACATTGCCCACAAGTTAATTTTCTTATAGTAAAACAAAAGAAACACGTAGACGAACACAGAACGACATATAAAGAACGCGGCATTCGTTTCTATGAGCAAAACCTACACAAATATTGGTTTCTATTATCCTTAACCCAATAACCGCAACGCAATCCACGCACCCATCCATCAAGCGAGCTGGGCACTGTGTGTAGTCCACTTGGGCTTATTTACGATTGCAACACCGTAATTGCCAACGATAAAAATGCCAAACGCATCAGTCCACGCACTTTTAATGTGAACGTACATACATTATTTATGGGCTCATTTGAATATCGCCACCGCTGTGGAATAATGTAAATCTTTGCTCGATAGCCAATTGATTAGCTGCGTGTGGAGAGGACGCTTTGACGACGTTTGCCATCTAATGCAACAATCAGATTTTTGGGTGGCAGCAGACTAGCAGTGTTTATGCTTTTGCCCGTCGTCCGGTGGTGAGATAAACAGAAGCCCATCCTTCCGGTTGCAACATGCCTGCCAAATGTCTGGTGTGGCAGTCCATGGGCCACTCTCACTCGTGAACTGCGGGCTCAGCTGCCATCGCACGATTGAAATATAAAACAGAGTGTAAAACGAGAAGAAGTAAAGAATTACCTTATTTTGGGCAGAGGTTCGCTAGTGGCAACTTCGTAGATACGAATACGAACCCACTAAATAAACAAAAGCAGGACCGATATAGTTCCTTTTTCAAACCAGACCGGCTAAGCGGTTCTCAAACTTTATGCTAGATACCTTTTAACATGTGGAAATGTACAAATAGTTAAATGTATCTTGCCACGCCCACGTGTCAACGGAAAAAGCTGACATCACAGAAGATATCGAGACCAGGAAATAGTGGGAATGACGACGGCCAAAGTACGAAACTGACATTTTGTGCAATAATAATACCTACTCGAAGCTTGAGGCACTTCGGCCGAGTGAAATTCGAGATACGTTATGACCTCTGTGCTGTTGAAGACGGCATTTAGCGCTGACCGTGATTTACAACAAGGTAAGCGGTGAGGCGACAGGTAAGTGGGTGTCTTCGAAATGTTGCTTTTAAACGGCCTCAAGATTATTCCGAAAGTTATGTGTGCTGTTTGGTTCGTATTCCTCCGTTTAGTAAGAGATTTCTTTTACTTCAGAAAATATTAGCAAGAGTCCGTCACCAACAAAAGATACATAAACTGCGACGAAACAGAACGTTAATTAAAACAAATCGGACCTGTTCATTAAATTGTAAAAAGAAGAGAATCATAAAATGAAGAGGATTCCAAACAAGAAAATGACTCAAAACACACAAGGGAATCTGATTCAAGGCAGCTATTATATCGATAGTTCCAATTATATTAATGCAGT